ATGGTTTTAAGCATGTCATAATAGCAACATTGATGTTGCCAATAAAAGTTTAAGAGACTTCAGCGTGAGAAGTACGTAATTAACATAGACAACTACGTGGCTATAAGCTACTCAAGAAGATGTTTTATCCTCAGGGGATGGATGAAAGGATGTGACTTGTCGAACCTTATTATAGTATAGTGTTATGTGCTCCTCGTGTCATCTTGTTACCTAACCGGTTAACCCCCTGGTTAGACCCAAGAAGTGGTATGAGAGGTGATATTTCAGATCGGCTGGGACAAATCGACGGAGACAAGAGTTGATGGCTTAGATTGGTTAGGATAAGAGTTGATGGTTCATATTGGCTGGGACGACTAGGTGGCCCAATCTGGTGATAAGCTGTATGATGTGAGAAGATGTGACTCGATGCTTAATTATAAAAAGGGTCGAAATTGCAATGTGTATTTTTTGTTATAAATTATAACTATTTATAAGGAAAAAAAACACTATACATGATGTTCAGAATTAAAAGTTGACTATAGAATAATTGAGAAAAGACTTCCATGCGTGGGGAGTGGACAGTGGACACCCTTTTTTACATGGTTTATACTGTCCACAATTTTGCTTTACTTGAAGACTCTCAAAGGAGGAAGTCCCTCTTCGTGTTTTCTGTTGATAATTGATTTTTTTTCCCTTTTGTTTTATCTTTTCCTGTGTTGCGTTCTGTGGATGTGTGACTATGCAGGTGAAACAATGAATTTGTTATTACCGTGTAGAGCTCCTATTGTTAAGAACTTTGGGATACACCATCCCAAAAGTTAGCTCAAAGGGTGGGAGTGCTCAAGGCCTCTAATCAATGTGGGATTATATATTTCAACACGCCCCCTCACGCAAGAGTCTTTTTAAGCTAGAAGCGTGGAAATTGCACAGGCCCATTTTTGGTTTACCTTTTTGTGCTTTTTTTTTATTTTTAATTCCACTTTTTAATGCGGGGGACGGTGAGGCTCTGATACCATGTTAAGAACCTTGGGATACACCACCCCAAAAGCTAGCTCAAAGGGTGGGAGTGCCCAAGGCCTTAAAAAGGCCATATTAGTTGCCCATCCAATCAATGTGGGACTATATATCTCAACAGCAGCAGTAAATGGAAGAAAAGGAAAAAACAAGAGGCAGTGAGGGGATGGTGTGGCCATAGTAATTCACTTTTATAAAAGAAAAGTCTTCTTTTGGCATTAAAAAAAAGATTTTATAAAAATTATGTTGTAGAAAAAATGAGTTTGTAATGTTATAATAATTCTTTTTTTGTGTTCCAATTTTTATTTTTTTTTATTCAAAAGATGAGGGCCCCATAAAATGATGTTTCTGTAGGAAATTTTTATTTTTTCCTCTGCCAGGATCAATGCAAATTGCAAAGCCCTTAAAAAAATTACATTCAATACAAGGATTAGCAGTAAGTCTGGAGTGGCATGGCTGTCGGATAAAAATAATAATAAACAATTTCTTAAAATTTATAACCAATACAGTCACATAAAATATTTTGAGTCAATTTGGTAATTTACTGATAGCGGGGGTCCTGTTTGGTGATATTTGATATTTTAATTCTAAAGCGTAACATTTATGCAATTAAAAATAGGCTTTAATATATATTTTTGCAATGAATATAGATAAGTTATTTATATTGTCTATATAAAATAAAGATAAATTATCTACCTCTACTTCCAAAACGATGTCATTTTGGGTTCACAGATTAAAAAATTATAATGAAAAAGACTATTATAACCCTAAAATAAATTTAATTACAAAAATATCTTAATTTCTGCTTCAAAATAATATTGTGGATTTAATATAAATAACTTATATACATTAACTACAAAAATAATACTTTAAAAATGTCAAAACATGGCATTTTTGTCTGTCAAAACATGGCATTTTTGTCTTTCCATCCTTAATTTAATTGGGTGGGGACTGCATACTGTTTTTACATTAGTTTTTTTTCTTAACTAGATCGTGATACACATATCTTTATATTAAATCAATGTCCTTAGTTTGTTTATCATAATTATAAAAATATTTTAATAGAAATTTTTTATTTGAAAATATTGGGTCTTGTTAATTTTTTTTGGGTACAAAAGTAATTATGAGTATGTTCTTGTAAAGGTTTCTCTCTTTTTTTCCTGAAAATGTAATGGTCTCTGTGAAAATTCATAAGACTCCACATGAAAATCCATTTTGCTCACTTAAAAAATAAATATAAATCACTTCTAATAACTTAACCAAACAACTACAATTATCGTTATTACAAAAATATATTTTAGATTGATACAATTGATTTAAAAATTGGAAAAGTGCCCGTTTGAGAATTTTTTTTTTTTAGCTTATCTTCTCTTTATAAGTAGAAGTTAGGCCAAATAAATTTTTACATAAATTCTCATAATAAAAAGAGCTTTGTTTATAACCAAGAAAAAACAAAAAGTTAAAAACTCTTAGGAAGAGTTTTTTTTTAAGTTATATTAACTTTTTTGAAAATGAATAGTTTTTACATGACTTTCAAATTAAAATATTTATATAATCATTAAATAAATTTTATTTTTATTTTAAAAACTTTTTTGGACTTTAATTTAAAAGTAATTTTTAATTAAAAAAGAAAATTATATTTTTATATTGCGGGAAAAAAATTATCTTATGTTACTATTATAACTATATATTTTAAAAATATAAAATCATAATATTAATATGTACTGCGTAAAGTATATGGAGTTTGCATTTGTCATTTAACATAACACGACAAACTTTCTTACACACGTAACATTTTGTGGGTTCACACTTTTTGAAGAAAAAAGAAAAAAAAATTACGACACGCAAAACGAATCTCTATAACATTATACAATTATTTTTCCTACGACATAACTCTTATAAAACGCAAGTATATAACCATTGAAAGAGAAAAAAAAAGAAAAGTTGTCAAACATACTCGAAATGTAACGAAACATGCACTCGTATATGTGGTTTCCACTGCTTTTGCGAAGCAAGAATCTCCGTCCCACTTAATAGTTAATACTTAATACCATTAATCTACAGTTTCTCTCTCTCTCTCTCTCTTACAAAGTTAGAAAAACGAAAGAGAAGTGACAGTGATAACAAGAAGAATAGGGGGACCGAAAGATATGGGCCAACCTCCCACTTCAAAACAGAAACTGGATAAGAAAGAAAAAACATCAGTCGCATGCAGCTGTGATTTTTTTTTAGTTAGTTGATCGGAAACTCAATTAATTTTGTTTGAACTCGAGAAGAAAGAAAATACAGCATCAGCAGAAGCTGTCTTCTGTTTTGTTTTTCTAATTTTTCTCATTGGAGTATCTAAAGAAACTTGGGATATACCATCCCAAAAGCTAGCTCAAAGGGTGGGAGTGCCCAAAGCCTTATAAACTCCACATTAGTTGCACATACAACCAATGTGAGACTATATATCTCAACACGTCCCCTCACACGAGAGCCCTTTGGACTTGAAGCGTGGATTATGCACAGGCCCAATTTTTTGTTTACCTTTTGTGCTTTTTGTTTTTAATTCCACTTTAAAGTGGGAGACGGTGAGGCTCTGATACCATGTAAAGAACCTTGGGATACATCATCCCAAAACTAGCTCAAAGAGTGAGAGTGCCCAAGGCCTTATAAACTCCACATTAGTTGCACATACAACCAATGTGGGACTATATATCTCAACAGAGTATGGAAGACTCAACTAATTTTGTTGAGATATATAGTTTCATATTGATTGGATGGACAACTAATTTCTTGTGTGAGGGGGCGTGTTGAGATATATAGTTCCACTTTGATTTGATGGGCAACTAACATGGCCTTTATAAGGCCTTGAGCACTCCCACCCCTTGAGCTAGCTTTTGGGGTGGTGTATCTCAAGGTTCTTTATATGGTATGCCTCACCGTCCCCCGCTTTAAAAAGTGGAATTAAAATAAAATAAAAAAAGCACAAAAAGGTAAACAAAAAATGGGCTGTGCAATTTCCACGCTTCTAGCCTAAAAAACTCATGTGTGAGGGGGCGTGTTGAGATATATAGTCCCACATTGATTGGATAGACAACTAATCTCTTGTGTGAGGGGGCGTGTTGAGATATATAGTCCTACTTTGATTGGATGGACAACTAATATGACATTTATAAGGCCTTGAGCAATCCTACCCCTTGAGCTAGCTTTTGGGGTGGTGTATCCCAAGTTCTTTATAAATTTAGTTAGAATTAGAGGAAAAAGGAAAAAAATGCAGTAGTCTATGATAATTTCCTTCTCCTTCGGTTCTGTTCTCCACAACTAATGGACGATTTATTTTCGCAATTATAACAAGGGTACGTATATCTTTTTTGATTTCCTAGATATTGGCTTGTTATGTTTGATTTTACTCTAGGCCTTGCTCTTCATCTTGTTACAAGTGTTGCTGTCCTCTTGCACGTGAATGTAGAACCTAAGGCGAATATATAAGATAGGTGATGATTACAACTTTTTTTTAATGCTTACATAAAGGTAAGCCCACTTCTTCAGCATTTTTTTTTTTTTTTTTTTTGTAAATTTTTGAATTTTTAAATGATAAATTATTTTTTTTTTTAATTATAATGGAAATCGAAGATTACACACACTATACTACACACAACCCACACCACTAGGTTAACGCCAGTGGTTAAATTAATATTTATTATTCACGTACACTAGGAGATAGGAGAAAACGATATTCAATTTTAAATCTTTTCAATTAATTACAAATGATTTTATGAGCTGACCTAACGAGTCTCTCTCGTTCTTCACTTTTTCAGGGTATGATATGACTCGAATTTGATATGAAATTAATAAATAATAAATAACGAAGCTGACATTAAATCAAAGAGCCAAGACCAGCTATTAGCATATTAATGTTATCGTAGAGCCAACCCTGTTTTTTGTCCTTTTGCATAGCCATTAAATGTGAGACTGTGAGGAAGTTTTTATTCCACATAAATTGAGACTTGCTACATAACAACAAAATAAATAAATAAATATCATTTATCAATCATCATAATCTTGCGCACAAGCTTTCTTATACCACAAACAATGCGCACTAAAATACAAAGACACAGAGGACGGGAAGACTATTTGACTTAAGTTATGCCCCTTCTGAAGTTCTGATTTGAACACAGGATTTGTCCCACATACGAACTCGGAGACAAGAATAATTTATATGTGGCTTGGTATAAACTGTATACACAATTTCTATAACATATCAAGAACAGTGTAAAATAAAAGGGACATCACACATTTACGTAAAAGTGTGGCATATGAATATTGTGAACCACTGAATTAAATACCGGCAATGCACTCCGGTGGGGTCACTGGGTACCTTGACTTATCTTGACAATAATCATAGATCACATGGTTCATACGAACCCACTTGTACCTTCTGTTTTCAATGGCATTAAGACCCTGGTATGCAGCCCCTTCCCACCAGTTTTTTGGGTTTGAGGCACAACTAACAGGTCCTGGCACAGCGCATCCTTCAATGTCAAAGTCCTTGTAATAAGCATAGAAAGGTGCTTTACTCCAATCAATTTTCTCCAAACCACCCCTTGTTGCCCAATTATCTGCTTCCCACAACGTTGAATACACCCCCATGGCCTGCATCTTTGGGTATGGGATTCCCTTCCCTTGTTTGTTTTTGTATTCTCTGATGGGAAAATCATCAACGTAGAATCTGCATGTATATATATATATATATATATACATTGCAATACATTAACAAAACAAATTCGCAATCGGTGTTAGAGAGATATAACATAAAACCATTAAAAATCATAACTTAACCAATTTTTGATATATTACGTAAAGAATCAATTCAACTTATAAATTTAAGTTTTTAAGTGACGGGCTTTTATATTATATCTGACAATTGACTAAAAATTAAGTAATGCTGTTGTTGGTGATGCCTAAAGCCTAATATACTTACACAATATGGTAATGGTTCCACATAATTGTGTAAGTGTGGAAGTCCTTAGCAGGATCAAACCAGAGGTTAACCCTCTGTTCTCTGTCACCCTTTCCGTGAGCATAGATGTTTGTTTGAACTGTATAAGGTTGACCACTACGGTTCCCCAAGAACTCGAAGTCCAGCTCGTCACGAACAGAGTCCGTGTCAGAGTTCATCTACCACAAAACCAATAATTTATTTATATATAGTATTCGGGTCTGGAATTTTAGCAATTTTTAAACAAAGGGATGTGACAGAGAAATTTTCACTTACATAAAATGCAGTAACTGTACCAGCAGAGTCTCCGGGGATGAGTTTGAGCTTCATGCTAACACGGCCAAACATGTACTTAACCTTTGAAGCGAACCCACATCCTGAAAAAAAAAACAAAAAAAAACAAGTATTTAATTTGTGGTAGATAGTGAACATGTGTATTAATTTATATTGAAGCATCTAAAACATAAGAGAGTTTTGGACATGTTACCAGAGCTTCGGTCTAGAGTGAGTTGGATTGTTTTTCCTTGATCAATTTGTTTGATATGGGACTCAGACCACGTGACTCGAAAATCTTGAAGAAAGGTGGCTGGTCGTCCCCAAACACATACAGAAGAAACAAGAACCCATAATAATAAAAGAAAATAGACACCAGCATTTCTACAAGGGTAAAAGATAGCCATGGTTATATTATATATGTAAGAACGTGTTAAAATGAAGGAATTTTTTGTTATGGAATGGAAGTGGAGGGAGTGTGTTATTTATACAGGAGGTTTGGTAAAGCAAAGGAAATTAATTAATTAATTAACATAGAGTTCAGTGCAGCATTTGAATGGAATACGTCACAAAGACCTTAGCTTTCCATACAGCTAATGACTTGCCGTCATTAGGGCCTACCCAACAGTTTGTATTCTTTCTTGGCGCCTTTATTCTTCTGCTGCCTAAATCATTTTCTGAGCGTGTGCGTGTGCGTCCTACATATGCATAATATAATAAATTGAATAAAAATAAACAACATTCATGCGTGGATGGTACAAATTGCTAAACGCATTCAATTATTTTGTTTCTTACTCAAGCTTAGAATTACCGTGGCTTGTATTTCAGATTTTGAAATTTTCACCGCTAAACATCAAAATTTGCATGATATATTAGAAACTAAAAATGCGCCATGTAATTATATATATATTTTTAGTGATATTACGTCAACTAACCAAACACAACATTTCTTTAATTTTCGTGGTATAGGAATAGTAAATCACTTTAAAACACGGAAGAAAATAATTGAAGGAAGGAACAATAATAAATATTAAGAACTTTAAGCTTTGCCGTATGGATACATTTCTTTAATTTTAAGAAATGTATCTATCAACTATCAATTTTGCAATCAATATCCTCTTGTCTATATTAAAAAATATCACAAGCAAAAAATTCTATTTATTTTTTATTAGTTAATTTGAATTTCTCAATAAATAAAATCAATTAAACTAATAACAAGTTTAGTTTTGATTAATTTTGAAAGAATACTTTTTTAATTCAAAATCAATTATAAGTTATTTCGAATGCAAAATAAGTCAATTCAAATTCACATAAAATCTATAAAAGAGAAATATATTTTTTTTTCATTTTTTGAGTGCTAAATATAAAGTCATTTATACATATATTATAAATATTTGAAAAATTGTGCATATTTCGTCTATTGAAATAGAAACAAAGATTTGTGTCCCCATGATGGTAGAGTGGCAGTACATGCAAAGAAAATGTGCAAACTCAAATTCTGTAATGCATTTTGTCGCTTTTCTCTACTTCCCTCCTTCTGGGGGCCACACCTAGCCTTTCGCTGGACCCACCAATTAAATTAGAAAAGAAAGGCTTGTGATTAAAAAACCAAAATCTATCAAAATGAAAGTAATATATGTTGAGATAATTTTAAATTAAGAAAATGAAATGCTATTGGTCAAAAACTCAAAATTAAGGAAAGGATTTGTACTTTTCTCCTCTTTTATATAAAAAGTTAAGTTAACGAACTCAGAAAATGTTAAATACACTATATCCATATATAATTTTTTTTTTTATAATATGTCCACAAAATCTCTCCAAAAAAAAGAAGGCCTATAATGATAGGAAATTCAGTTCATCCCCAACACAGTCGTAGTATCACGAGATCCATCAGTTGCACTCTTCAAAGTCAATATTGTGTTTAGTTGTATTCATACTAGTAATTATAATATCTCTTAAACTCCCATTCTATGATAGAAAGATAAAAAAAGGCTCAAACTTTTTGTACTGCTCCCAAAACAACATGACTAATTCGAGTTATCTAATAAATGGTTTGACTTTTAACAAATAACAACCAGTTAACATTTAATTATTGATTTTGCTTATCACTTCAGAGTTCATACATTGGTTTGGTATGAATTTAATTGCCCATTACTTGTGACAGGCCTAATAATGTTCATTATGAGCTTCCCTGGCATGCTTAAATTTCCTTTGTCAAATTTGAGGGTCCTGTAATTAAGGCGATGCCAGCCATTAATTCATAATTATTTGAGCTATGTATTCATCTATGTAGCGGGGACAGCTTGAGAGAAGTTGATTGATCACGAACGGTACGATTGGCAGCTATACCTCCATCGTGGGACCTACTCATTGGTCGAAGTCATTACTTGGATTTCGATCATGCAAAATATTTTCAGTATTATTCATACATTTTTTTATCAAAAAAAAAAAATTAAAATTAAAAATCAGAAGAGCCGGTCACCAACATATGTGAATTAAATTATGGTAATTTAGTTAGCAGATTTGATCTTCCCCAATAGTATTTTTGATAGAAATTTAAAGTCTTCATTCTAAATTCATCCCAAACAAGATTGGATTGTCTTCCATAAAAGATATATATGATTTATAAAAAAAAATTAATAATATATTTATATTACTTCAACTTCTATAATTTTTTTTTTCATATCTCTCTCTTTTTTTTTCTTTTTTTTTTTTTTTTTGTAAAAACGGGAGTATCTATACTCATTGCACCAAAATGTGCCCCCGATCATGATGCCAATCATCGGGATGTAACACACTAATTCAAATAATAAGTAAGGTTTTATTCATTCCTAATTTGTAATAAATTAAGAATATGATATATTTTAAATTGAAATAATGATAAAATTATTTTAAACTATTAGTACCACCATTATAAAATAACGTTAAAACAATTATTATTTTTTATAAGTAAAAACTAATCATATACTTTGTGTCAAATTTGAAAATTTTAATACTTCGTTTTTTATTGCCATCATAAATAGGGACGGATTTAGGGAAGGAAAATGATGGATAGTTTTCCCTCCTTAAATTTTATTTTTTTATTATTATTTAATAATAATATACTATTAGTGTTAATAATTAGCCTTTTCCTCAAAATTATTTTTAATAATTTTTTGGTTAAAATAATTTTAATAATTAATTTTTTGTAAGACTTGTAAATTTGACTTTTTATTTTGCCAATATCATAACAAAACTCTTAGTCTGCCATTAATCATAAATATATAACCTATGAATTTTAAATTTTGAATTCTCCATTAGGCAGTTAAGTCAACGATAGTAATATCAATAACACTTTTATTATAAACTAGTTATGATTGATGGCAAATGAACCAAAAATTAATAATATGAAAAGATAAAGAAAAAAAAGAGATTACAATTTTACAAATAATAAAATAAATGAATGGCAAAATCACTTCCTATGTTCCTACAAGAGAAAAAAAGTTACAAAAACTAATTATAACTCTCTTACTAGTAATATATAGTTATAATTAAGAAAAATAATTTCTCTCTCCTTAGAAAGTTGTTTACTGACTGGGTAGAAAGAAAAAAAAATAACTTTAATATTATAATTATATTTTGTTGATTGAACATGATTATAATTGGTGGTCGAAGAAATTTTTTTCCAGCAATATAGAAGTTGAGGACCCTAAATGAATACATGTAAACTAAAATACGAACACTTTCGAAATTTTTACTCAGGCTAATTAGTGGTCGTGGAAGTAAATTGTAATCGCAATCAAATTTTACCTACAAATTTTTGGGTTGGCTCTTTGAGATTTTTTTTTTTTTTTTGAAAAATTCGAAATATATATATAAGGAAAAATATTTCTCCAGTCACTTTAGATAAGGTTGTCTACAGCTATTCCTTTTTAACTAAGTACGACCGGTCGTACATTAAAAGTGCATTTTCTCTCCCCGCCACGTCAGCCGACAGTGTCTGAGGAGAGAGAAAAAAAGAGCAGCTTTATTGTTATAACTAAGTAGGACCGGTCGTACTTAGTTAAAAAAGGGTAGCTGTAGATAACCTTATCCAAAGTGGCTGTAGAAATACTTGTTCCATATATATGTATACAAGAAAAAATATTTATGCAGTTAATGCAGATAAATTATCTACACTTATTCTTAAAATTACTTCGTTTTGATATTGAAATCTTAAAAAATTTTAAATATAAAGACTATTATAACTCTGAAACAAATTAAAATTACAAAAACACTATGATTTTCGCTCCAAAACAACGTCATATTAGACTTACTGCAGATAACTTATTTCTAATAAATACTAAAAAAGGAATCCATATATATATTGAGAGAGAGGGTATATGATGACATTAACATATTGAGAGAGAGGGTATATGATGACATTAACAAGTAGGCGCAAAATCAGGTGAGGCTGTCCAAATATGAAATAGCAAATACAAGTGCAGAGAGTGCTGTGCGAAGCACTAATTGTAGCCAAAACACAGTACACAAGTTGCCTTCTTTGTGGGTAAAAAGAAAATGAATGTCATAGTCTCTATAAAGTATGGCAAGTAGGCAACTATATATGTATAACTTTATGAATTATAGCTTTATGAATTATCGCTAAGCCTTTCAATAAGCTAGCAGTAATGCTTCTTATACACAATTCTTTATTCTTAGTAAAATGTTTTAGCTTATATCCAAAGAAAATTGTAAATAAAAATCGCTGGATTGATACTGCTGACTGCAGGTCATAAAATTCGTTTCCAGACCATAGACGATCCAGCTTCGACTAACGGTGAGGAATTTTAATAGTTTATACAAAACTATATATTTAAATTTCTTACCGTTAAAAAAAATTACGATAGCTCATGAAATCTCATTGACCAAGTAAGTTCCATTTACTTGAATCTTACTGATTATTTGACGCTTCGTCTGCGTATTCATAGTAATTGCTTCTTCTTTTTTTGGAGAAAAATTCGTAGTAAATACAAAAAAATAATATTGACTTTCATATTATGCCGAAATGCCCTAATAAGCTCAACATCACGCTATATTAAAAATAGAAAACAATTGTAAAAGAAAATAAAAAAAAATAGAAAGCAATAGAAATGTATATTTTGAGTCGGGCAATATTTATACTTTTTTTCATTTAACTTCTCATTACTATTTTCTTATCATTAAGTCAAAATTAAATTAAAAATTTTCAGTTAAGGAATTTTATTATAATTGATTTAATTTTAATTTAATCATAACATAAATGATTGTGAGAAGTTGAAGGAAAAAAGTTATTTTTATAATCTTTTTCTATGAAAATTATAAAATTAAATAAAAAATAAATAGAAAATGTGTAGTAGTTATTAACTTAGAAAAAAAATTGTTCGCATACCAAAAAAAAAATGTTTTTTTTTTCTTTTTAGATTTTATAATACTTTTATATTTAGCAAACAATATTACAAATT